TTTCAATATAATTGCTGGCCAATGGTTATCTATATAATTTACTGTGAACAAAATTATGTAATTAATTCATTAGGACTACATTCGCTGATAAAGGTAAACTGTTAACGATGAAATATGCGTTTTATTGATATTCTGGAAACTGACTGTTGATGGATTAATAGTATAAACTCATATATATGACTGTGTAGTCTTGTATGACGTGTTTGTATGTACGTGTTTTATGTCATGATATATTTGTTTGGTTCCAGCCTCACCAGAACGTAATTTCAACACATTTAAGGTTGCGCTTTGCTGATATCCAATAACCAACCAGATAAATCTGCTTGCCGTGCCTTCAATATACATTCAGTTTAATCTTTCTCATAAAAGAAGTCATGATGTTAGTTTTACATAAACTAGACTTGTCAAATATATTATCATGTGCATATATGTGTAATAAGTTATAAGATATGTATGCCAGCGTTGGGCATAAATTACTTTTTGAACAAATTAATTCGATAAAGGATATATGATAGCATTTTTTTTAAATATGTGATTAGTTACAGAAGGCATTTGAAATGATATCAGAATAAATCGCACTATATATATCCACACTCCTACCAATAAAAAGGTCATGCTAAACTTCAAAAAATACATTGTAACATGATTATATAAACGACATGTGAAAGGCGACCTTTTCAAAAATGTTGCCTATTGGCCCTTTTAAATGTGCTACCACGTTGTGACATCAGGTTTTAAATATTGGAAATATTGCAGATTATATATCAGTGTAATAGGTACTTTTATTTCAAATAAGTTCTTATTCTGTTTACGTGATAACTTACAGTCACATATTCTCGGGGGCAGGCCAAAAACACTCAGAAAACGTTATTTTGGGATGGTTGTTAAGACTTCCCTGAACAGTGTAACAAGATTACCCCCCCCCCCCCCATGTGTAACACATATAAATTTGATTGTTCAGGATTACTTCAAAGTTGAGTTCCTGTTGTTTTCTTGGATTTTCACCGGCTCTTGGCTCGGTGTTCCGCGTTCCTCAGCGGCGCACAGAAACACGTGGTACAGTGATGCGCGTCTTAGCAACGTGGAACGTCTTGTGACGTAGCTCCACCCTGAGGATATGTCTTTTCAAATCAGGTAGTGGTCGGACTGTTTATTTTGGTTTACTGTTTTACTCTATGGTCTGATATTATATATAAATTGATGCTATACCATTGACGTGTATCATGGGAAATTTTGTTATTCTATTGCGTATTATG